CCCCCCTGAGAATAGTTTTGACTGTGATGTTTATGAATGGGCGCTATTTACATATGAATAAGCCGCCACTCACTCACTCAAAAAAAGTCAGCGCGTCGCTTGCGTGCTCAGGGTTGCGCTTGAAGAAAAGGTGGCAACCCTACGTACTCCGCGCTGACACATATATGTGTTTGGTGTCAGGAAGCGCGCTCGAATGGCACGCCCCCAGAACGGCAAGCACTCTGTTACCGGAAAGCTCCTGGTCAAACAGGGGCCAGTAGGATAAACTCCTGATCATGTGATCACTCTGACAGCCAATCACAATGATGAATGAGTGGAGTGAGGACGAAACGCGCACATTGTTTCTGGGCCGCACTACGGGTATGAAATCGATAACACAAAATCGCCTGCACTCCATACAGCGGTTGTCACTATGTCGCCCAGAAGAAGGGACCCTGCGTGGCCCCCGAAACTTTGGCTGTATGACGCATGTGACCAGTGGCTTAACAGGTGGCCGCTATGGGGCCCGGGCACAGGGGGGCCCGGTCATTTCCCCTCATAGCCGCTGCGGAGCTGTGTCAGTGACAGCCAGCCGCTGCGGCAGATGAGGGCGGTGTTCGGAATGGAGGAGGCGGGGCCCGCCTCCTCTTACATCACTGGCCAGCGACTTAAGAGCAGGTGGGGCCAGTGATGTAAGAGACGGCGGGGCCCGTCGATAGCAGAGGAGGCGTGGCCCGGTGACCGAACAGGAGTCGGGGCCCGGGGACGGAACAGGAGTCGGGGCCCGGCGACCACAGAGGCGCTGACAGATAAGAGATCTCAGACCCTGCAGAGCCCACTATAGAGAGTCTATGGTGGGCTCTGCAGGGTCACTCTCCGCTGGGGCTCTGCAAGTGGCATGACTAGCAATCACGGGGGCCCATACAAAATTTTGCTACGGGGCCCCGTGATTTCTAGTTACGCCCCTGCATGTGACCATTTAATAAAAAGTGCTTCTACTTCTTGCACACATCATGCAGTGCAGGTGACTTCTATTATGTACTATGGGTACGAACACGAATAATGCTCACATACGTGATGTCGAGTCAGGGGGATTTATTGCGGGTTGTTGGTTGGCGGAGGGTCGTTGGTTGGCGGAGGGTCGGTCGTTGGCGGAGGATCGTTGGTTGGCGGAGGGTCGTTGGTTGGCGTTGGTTGGCATCATGACTCTGAACACATACATGTGCTTTATATGTTCAGACGTGTTTCACGTGTGATACGAAGGACCTCGTATACTAAAGTTGAATGGGAACGTGCAGGTCAGTGCAACAAAATCACCCCTGGCGCGGGGGCGATGGGTCCATGAAATGCAGCGGAACGCAGGACAATGCGGAACCGGAAGCGGATATAAAACATTCGTCCAGAAAGTAGATCAAAAACCCCCAATCACTAGAATCTCATCGAACCCTCAACATGGTCATGTTTTATTATAATAATCCCCGGTGATCCTGCCGTGGAGGTCCTCGTTCAGGCACTTCCTGGTACAGCAGGGGTGGGCAAGCGCTAAGAGCCAATCCTTATCCCGAAGTTACGGATCAGAATTGCCGACTTCCCTTACCTACACCAGGGGCGTCCCGAGGCTGGGTGACACCCGGAGCGCTAACCGAGTGTCACCCCGCCGAGACGTCACTGCGCATGCGCGTGATGTCACCATGACGTCATCGCGCACGCACGGCAGTATTCTGATACCTGCTGGCGGCCATCTTGGTGATGGGCAGCGGCAGAGAGAGGAGGGGACAGTCACCCGGCGGGATGAGGTATGCCGCCGGTCCCCTCCTCTCTCCTGATACTGGACCGAACGCCTGACTTTTCAGAGGGGGGTGACACCAATGACTGTGAGTCATTTTGGTGTCACCCCTCCAATGGTGTCACCCGGGTGCGGGCCGCACCCCCCTTGTGACGCCACTGCCTACACTGTCCTAACAGCTGGAGGGCCGGTGTTCTGTCGAGAAAGTCGACCCAGTTGAATTTGCCGACCTCAGCATCTGCGCTTGTGCACACACCGGGATTAACGGGGGAAATAGGGATTTATTTACAAAGTATTGATCTGTAATTGTTGATTGTGACCGTTGGTAATATCCCACCCATGGCAGTAAATGATGGGCGCCATTTTATGCACATTCACAGTTAACGTCGTAACTGCCACGGATGGGATATATTATCAACGGTCACAATTGACGATTACCAATGAATACTTTGTAAATAAGCGCCTGTTGCCTCGTTAACCCCGGTGCGTGCACAAGCGCAGATGCTGAGGTCGGCAAATTCGACTGGGTAGGCGTTCTCGACAGAACGCCTGGCCCTCCAGCTGTTGTGGAACTACAAGTCCCACGAGGCATTGCAAGACTGATGTCCCGGAGGCATATTCGGATTTGTAGGCTTCCGACGGAGACTACAACACACAGTACACAGGCATGATCTACTGGTGTTGTCACCGTCAGGAACCCCCCTCCGAGAAATGCCATGCAGCCATCACTGGAGAGCATGTAGACAGGAAGTGGCTGCAGGAGATCAGCGGCACCGAGAAGTATCAGGGAGGAAAAGAAGGATTTGATTTATTTTATTTACAAACGTGGGAATTGTTTATCATACACAATACACAGAGCTAGATGACATCCAGTCACATGACATCCAGTCACATGACATCCACTACAGAGGAATCCTGAAATGTATATTTAAAGGGACAGTAACCTCCGGAAATAAATCTTAAAATCCCTCGAGTCCCCGATCTCTGAGCAGCAATGTATCTTATTTGTGTGTCACTCGGCTGTAGATCCTCCAATCACCTCTGACACTGTCCTTCCTTCTGGAGGGGGGCTACGTCTGTTCCCCATGGTCCCTGTGTGTGTTGTACTGTAGTCGCGCTCCAAGCTCCGCCCCCCCCCGGGATGGACTACAATCTCAGGTTTAGTTTACTGATTTGTATTGAGATTGTAGTCCACCCCGGGGGGGGGCGGGGGGGGAAGGAGCTTGGAGCGGTGACTACAACACACACAGGGACCATGGGGAACAGACGTAGCCCCCCTCCAGAAGGAAGGACAGTGTCAGATGATTGGAGGATCTCCAGCCGAGTGATACACAAATAAGATACATTGCTGCTCAGAGTTCGGGGACTCGGATGGATTTTTAGGATTTCACTCCGGAGTTTAGTGTCACTTTAGTACCTCAGTCTGTCTTTATATCAGCTTCCTGCTCCCTGCCCAGCATGGTTAAGGCTGGGTTCACACCTAGCGTTTATGCGCGTTTGCACATTTGCATGCGCGTTTTAACGCGCGTACATGAAGACGCGCATTTTGACTGGCAGCGCATAAACCATTGTGGGTCATGGAAAATGTGCAACATGCTTCTGTTGCACGTTTTTGGGGCATTTCCAATGAAGTCCATGGGGGCAAAGAACCGTTTTTAACTGCCCAAAGAGGCTCCCGTATCTTTTCGGGCGTCCGGCGTTTTTCTGCTCAGGTGTGAACAGGGGCCATTGAAATTTCTTGTGTTGGGCAGGTAAAAGCGCTTTTCGAACTGCTCAAAAACTCTGAGGTGTGAAGGAGGGCTCAGACTGGGAAATGAGGAGCTTACAATATGAACCAATCAGTCTCTCTTACAGGCTTAGTCAGCACCTTGCTGCCCCTTTTCATCCAATCACAGTCAGGGGGCGGTCCTTGACCAAGCTGTATTGCTGTAACTGCAGTAGAGATAAGAGAGGTCAGAGCCTGTGCTGTGTGATAGGGATCTCTCTACTGGCCGAGCAGAATTAGGAAGTTTGAACCATTAAACAGTCCGATATGTATGTGTCTTCTATGGATTTTCTGCATTCCTCTTTAATATTTAATCAAAGGCCACAAAACAGCTTTTTTTTTTTTTTTGCTGTAAATCTGTGAAATCTTCAATTGCTATGGTGACAGGTTATCCCGGGCTATGGATACATTATGTATACTGTGTATCTGTTTATTTCCGGCAGAGCTATAGGTAGGTGGCAGGTATGTGGTATAGATATGACACCCATTATCGGTGGAGGATCACCCTCATCCTCCCCAAATCTCTGGGTGCCCCCCCCCCCCCCCCGCCGCCCCCCCCCTCCGCCTCACACTCACCGCCCGCCCACATCCACGATCGGCACAGGGACGCGGGGAGATGTAGTAAGGAGGAGCAGGTGTGGGGGGGGATGACAGCCACCGATA